AGGAGCTCGTCGACAGGATTGTAGCATTGCAAAAAGAGAATGCCGCCGCAGTAGAACGGGCTGATGCCGTGGAGGCGAAGGCCAAGGATGAGATGAAACAAGTCACATCCCAACTCGAACAGCTTCGATCCGAAGTCGCGGCCGAGCAGGAAGGTCGCGTGGCTGATGTGTCGAGAGCAGCAGCAGATTCAGAACAGCTGCATGCCACCATAACCGAGCTGCAGGGGACCCTGGCGAGTCAGACAGAGGCAAGTTCCACCCAGGAGCGAGAGGCGTCGGACAAGATTTTGGAGCTGACAGAGAAGGTTGAGGCACTGCAAGCCCAACTTGCCTCTGCAGCAGAACGAGGTGATGCTCTAGAGGCCAAGGCCAAGGATGAGACGGAGCAACTTCGTGCCGAAGTCGCAGCTGAGCGGGATGGTCGAGCAACAGATGCAGCGCGAGAAGCAGCGCATGCAAAGCAGCTGAAGGCCACTATCGAGGAGCTGCAGGGGACGCTTGCGAGTCAAGTCGAAGCAAGTTCCAAGCAGGAGCGAGATGCCTCTGCCAAGTGTGAGGAGCTCGTCGACAGGATTGTAGCACTGCAAACAGAGAATGCCGGCGCAGTGGAACGAGCTGATGCCCTGGAGGCGAAGGCCAAGGATGCGACGAAACAAGTCACGTCCTAACTCGTAGTGAACGCGCTTCAAATCGACTCTGCACGCAGCATTTGTACCACGCACTGGGTTGGAGTGAAGTATCGTCCGATGATGATGATGATGATGACGATGATGATTATAAGGATGATGGTGACGATTGTAATGGCGTGACTGTCGAACTCACTAGTGAAGCCGATGACACTGATGATGTTGTTGATGACGATGATGATGATGAGTATGCAGAAGATGACCTTGATGACGCGGATGGCGGCGGTGTTGGTGGTGATGATGGTGGTGGTCCTGATTCCTGATGATGATGATGATGATGATGGTGCTGGTGGGCAATATAAGCCGAAAGACGTTCGCGAGGACAATGATGAGTAGCCTGCTACTTGTAGGTGAGAGTGTCAAAGTTTTGCCTCTGTCTGTTCCTGGTGATGAAGTTGGTCATGGTGCTGGTGATGACGATGAGGAAGATGATGATGGCGATGATGCTGATAATGAGAATGATGGTAATGCAGGCATTTGTGACGATGGCAACGTTGCATGGACCGCCGTTTCTTGGCGATGATGGATCTGGAGGTAGCGGCAGCGGTGCTGATGGTGGCAACAGAGTAGGACTCATGCGGGTGATGGTGGCATCATTAAGAAGCGCTTTCTGTCGATGCATAACCTTCATCATTCCTGTAGAGAAGCTGTAGACATGACCGCCGTGAAGGTGAGGATGCGAACACTACATAAACCTCTTCGCCGACAGCAACAGCAATGCAGTTATCAGCATGACAATATCACCATCTCACCAACTTTACGATCAGCAGCAGCTTCATGGTTAACCGTTATGAGTGTTATTATTCGTGTCATGGCTTTTGATTCTCACTAAGACTCCAAGAGGATTTCTAGATGTGGCTGTCTTTGTCGTTGCCATGATTACTGTCACGATCTTGTTCTGCTACGGCAGCCCCGAAAATAAGTAAGGATGATCCGACATTCCAGTCTGTCTTTGGCAAATATTTCCTAGGTAGGAGCCCGTCTGAGGAGGGTTGTAATCCTTACCCAGGTGCAAGGCACTTCACTGTACCGGACCTATTGCACAGGAGCGAGATACCGTGGCGACAATCCGAGAACTCGCAGACAAGGTTGACTCACTGCAGACGCAACTTGCGGCTGCAGTAGAGCGAAGTCATGCTTTGGATGTCAATGCCAAGGACGAGACGGAGCGACTTCATGCCGAAATCGCAGCTGAGCGGAAAGGTCGAGCAGCAGATGCATCGAGAGAAGCCGCCCTGCAGGCCACTATCGAGGAGCTGCAGGGAGCCCTTGTGAATCAAGCGGAAGCAAGCTCGGTAAAGGAACGTGAGGCATCGGCAAAGATCCGGGAACTCACGGAGAAGATTGAAGAACTGCAGACCCAACTTGCCGATACCATTGAAAGAGGGCATGCTCTAGGGGCCAAAAGGAGCGAAGAGGTGGAGGGGCTGACCTGCGAAGTTCTGCAGCCTCTGGCCTTTCCTGGCGCAATTCTGTTCTGGTTTGCTAGGCTTTTTCAAAGCCACTACTAGAGCAGACTGTACGGCCGGGGTTCCACAGCTTAGGCTTCGCAACGACCTTGCTGCAGAGCAGGACCGAAGGGTGGAAGCTCAGGTGGTCAGGTTAGCCCGTGCAAGATCTCCCAAGATTTCCGGGACTCAGATATCCTGACCAAGTCACCAAAACTAGCTGCTCGCTCTTTGGAGCTTGCAGGGGTTGTCGTTCTTGCCCAGGAAGGTTGTGTTTTTGATGAGGTGGGGGGGTTGCCCCCACAAAGGGTCAGTATACCAGACAGCAACACCGCTATCATTCGGCAGCATAGCTGCAGCAAACATCCAGTTTTTTCTTTTTAGGAGGGGAAGAAAGAACGAACACGAGAAGGAACGAACGAAATAACGACAGAAAGAATGACAGAACCAGCGACAGCAGAAAGAAAGAAACAACTAAAGTAACTAAATTTCGAAATAACTACTCAAAGCAACACGACAGAAAGAACGACTGCAATAACTACCAGAAGCAATGAATAAATGAAGGAACAATGAGATATAGAGACACAATGAAGACAGAAATAACGAACGAACGAACGAACGAACGAATGGCAGACATGACGATTTACACAAACGAATAGCACAGAAATAGCGAACATGAGACTAAGGAACCAACGAGACGGTAAACAGACAAAACTAAATCAACGAGCAGCAGCTCATGAACGACTTCGACGACAGAGAATAAAGGAATAACGAGCGAAAGAACGACACAAACAACGAAACAGGGCCAGAACAAATGCATAAGCAAAGGAAGGCAGCCAGACATGAAGAGAGACAGAAGCAGAAGTAACGAACGAACGAACGACAACTAACGAGCTAATCACAGAAATAGATACTCACAGAAATCAAGACTGAAACAACAAAAAGCGAACCAACGAAGTAAACACAATAAAGACATGACTAAACAACTAATGCCCGACAGAAATGAAAGACTAGAGAACCAAAGACCGAACGACATGATTATTTACACAAGGACAGAACGAAACAAACACGTAAAGCATTCAAGACACACATGAGGAGAGAAACAGACTTAGCTAATGAACGAAAAAGTAAAGAAAGACGTAGCGAAATAAATAACAGACGACATGAAGAACGACACCCGAGGGAAAACACACGTTTCCTTCTTTACGTTGTTTCCTGTGTTGAGGAACGAGCTTTGCCACGTGTTGTTCAGTGCAGGCTTCGGTTTAGGTTTCATGAGCCAGTTCGCAACACTGCATACAAGCAGCGCTGCATCAATTACATTCGCTTGCCAACATCTCAGTTGGAATGCACAGCTGCCACTTCCCTCTCCCTGGCGTTCGTCCGCTCTGCTCCTCAATTGTAAGGACCCTAGGCTCCTTGTGAGGGGCGCCTTGAGATCATTGCCCATGCTTGGACAAGTGGTCGCGTCCACTTCAGCTGTTTGTGTACGGAGCTTCACATCTCCCCGCTTTTCATCCGGCTGCAAGAGAATCATGGCCTAGAAGTTGGATCCCACCCTGCCTTTGTTCACCCCGATTTCTTACAATTACTTCCTAAGTACTACTGTTGTTCCCCTCCTGCAGAGTTTGTACACAAGGATAGGAACCTACCCAGTAGACGCCGCAAGCCCTGCATACGTCACAGCCCCAAGCCTTTAACTGTCAACAGTGAAGCCGTTCCAGCTCAGCACCCTGCAGCCCCAGTCACCCTAACCCCAAACAGCGGACTCGCCTAACCTGCCCATAGGAGCGCAGGGCAGACGGTGAACGTGCTGCCGAGACAGCGAGGCATAAAACGGAGCAGGACCGAGTGACCGAGCCGAGAGCGATCCAAGCAGTCGTCCCTCTTTCGTTATGTTGGGGGTTGGAGGCAGGCGTAGCGAGTTATGGATAGATTTTCAGCATGGAAGGTCCAAGGAATGCAGGTTAGGGTTGTAGAACCATCCCCTGGGCTTTGAAAACTCTGAACCTTGTGAAGACACAGCCGCGTCAAAGAACATGGACGAGGGATTGAATTTGGAACCTCTTCCATCAACGCTTCAGAGAAGGGAACTTTGATTGTTTCAGTCGGACTCAGCTGAAGCCAGGAGCTGAGAAAAGCAAATGATGAAGTCAACAACTTACGGGACGCAGCTTCCAAATCGGCCGAGACGCATGCTGAGGAGCACAGGACTGCCCTGGCGAGGATCGAAGAGCTAACTGAGAAAGTGTGCAGTTGGCAGGCGCAGTACTCATCGGAAAAGGGGAGAGGCGATGCACTACAAGCCAAAGCCAAAGATGATGTGGACGCTGTCACGTCGGAGCTGGACCAGCTTCGTGCTGAGCTCGCATCAGAGCAAGCAGGCCGAGCATCTGATGCCTCCAATGCAGCTGCCGATGCGGAACAGATGAATGCGACCATCCAGCGTTTGCAGCATGACCTTTCTCGTGGGGATAAAGAGGCCGCGGACAAAGTGAAGAATCTCTCAGAGCAGCTTGATGCATGGAAATCAAAGCATGCCGAAGCTCTCGCAAAAGCGGCCCAGCTGCTAGAGCCACCTGGCTTTGCTAAAACCAGGCCTACTTTGACTGCTTTGCAGTGCCCAGATATGTGCTCTTTGAATGTTCGCAGCTGGTGGAAGTTGAGCTCATCCCCAGCCGAGACGCCAGTAGCTTGTAGTGTCAGCCCTTGTTTGTGGGCCCACCCCAGGTCGCTGGAGCAGTGCCGAGCAGAGTGTGCAGAGGCAGTGTCTCTGAAAGAAGCCGGAGCCAGTGATGCAGCGAATTTGTTGTCCGTCCAGGCGCGATGCAGAGAAAGCCTTGAAGACCTTGACCCGTTGCAACTACCCCGGACATCCCCGGAGTATGTGAGCACTAAAAGATGGGGATAAGTGTGTGTGTATATATATATATACATAGGTACATACATACAGACAAACGGTATATAGGACTTGGATGTCACAGTTGAGTTTGCGTCGGGTATAACCCACGGCGATGTCGGTTACAAGGAACTGTTTTATGGGCGATAGTTGTCGCCATCGAATCGAAACAGGATACACTCAATGCTCCTATCCTGTCACTCTTGCCTGCAACCCAGGCCGAGCTGCAGCGGCAAGTCGAAAGCGAGAAGCATCACCATGCGCAAACTCGGGAGCAGCTGGAAATCGCTCATGGCGCCCACGAAGTCATGAAGGCGAACAGTACGGCACGATGTGCTTGGCATGCTGTAGGTTCAAATCCAGACCCTTGAGCCCCAGGCCAAGCTGGAAGATCAGCTCGACAAAGAGCGGAGGCTACATGCACAAACTCGTGAGCAGCTCGAAGTGGAGGTCGGCACGAGCTCCGTGGAGAAGGCGCTTTCACAGGGGATGTGCGGGATCCTACTGACACTTCCCCAGATGACACCAACTGTGTTGCTGTGCCCCCCCCTCCCCCCTCACGGTGCAAGCGAGGCCTGATGGGAAACATGGATGCAAAAGTCTTCCTAGTTGCAGAGATAGTCGCAGTCGTCGTCATCGTCGTCATGATCGCCAGCAGCATCACATCAACTTGTTTCGTCACCGGCACTATTGTCATGCTCACCACCACTCATCCTGAAGATGAACTCTTTCCTGTTCGCAAGAGATGTAGGAAAATGCCGTATAGGGTCGCAGCACAGGCCAGAGGTGCCAACCTCTACTGGACCTTGCATATAGATAGTCGTCGATGGAAAGAAGTGCTCCGGCGAACTGCTGTAGTGCTTGGATAAACGGGGACAGTATATAGGCTATCCAAAAGCTGCGATAGAGCGTAGCAGGGGTGGAAACTTTGCGACAATGAGACTGGCGACTTGGCAGACTGCATCTTCCTCATCCCTACCCCTTAAATCTTGGTAGCACCTACATGACATCATACTTTTGAAAACTTATCAGGCTCAGCTGCAGCAGGAACTAGAGCACCAGCGACAGCTTCATTTGCAAGCAGCGGAGCAACTGCCACTGGTCCAGAAATACAGTTCGAACAGGGCGGTTTGGAATCGGTTTTGCAGAGGCCGTGGCGCAGTGCTTTCGCTTTCAGGAGCTAAAATGCATGCACCACGTTGTGCGGCCTTGGGGATAAGCGGTGAGGGGGGGATCATTTTTTGAATAGAACCCTGACTGACATTGTTTCGAAAGCAGAAGTAGAAGCATCAAGGTCAAATGCTTGCCTGCAAAATGGAATCCAGGTCCTTCACGCAAGGTGTTTCGTGGACCTGGGATGTAGCGTCATTTTGAGGGTGAACTCCCGTAATGTCAGAATGCACGATCAATCGCATTCGCTGGCCACTAGCTTCTTTCTTCACCCCAGCGCACTTTCCGAGCAATCGTGGCTGCAAAGGCAGCAGCAGACGCAGTCGCATGCCGAGCTCAGCAACCGCCTTGCTGCCGAGCAGCAGGCGCACCTTGAGACAAAGGCTACCAGACAGCAGTTTGTGCTTTAATCAGTGCTCCCGTCCGGGTTTAAGAGGCCACCATGTTCAACATGTTTGTCAAGGGAGCTGCTTGAAGGTTTCTTTCACTTCGCAGACTCTCAGACCCACATACACAAACCCCACTTAAAAGACCGTGTAAAACACAACCTCTCAACATGCACAGCAATTGGCCCAGAAGATGCCAGAGCTCTTGTTTCTATTGCATTGCTTGTGTGAGGCTGCGCAGTATGGCTTGAGGCTTTGGGGTAACATTTTCGTAACTCTATCTAGGCCTATTGCTAAGATGGATCAGCGGACGGATGCATGATGGATGATTGCATCAGCACACATCAGCATGGAGGTTCTCCACACATTCAGTTGGATGTCTTGGTGAACGTCCCTCTGTGTGCCGGATACTGTCGGTGGTAATGTGACGCACACAAACACTAGACGAGCCCACCTTTGGATCTCCGCTCCCAGGCATCTTACGAAGAGGCACGGGCTGCACCGCTTCCATGAGTCACGCGTACTGCGCATGAGAATACAGTAGTGTTATGGCAACCTCGCACGCAGTTCGACAAATGTCATCAGAAGGAGACTTCAGGGGCTCTGGCCTTGGACTTCACCAACTCAAAGAAGTCCCTGCGGCCGGCTTCGTATCTTGACGTCATGCCGAGCATCGACTTGGGCGACGCAGCATGATTCGTTTTATTCTAAGATGCGCTCAATTCCGCCGTGGAGCGGCTGGCAAGAATTGTAACAGCAAGAACGACTACAAGTCCTATAGGTCCACCAGTTTCACCAACGGTACTGGTAGCAGTAACAGCAACAGCATGGTACATCGGAGCGCGAAGCTGCAAGCGTGGTCTGTTTCTTCGGCTTGCTGTGATTGCTCAAGACAGCGGCGGCTGCATATCAATCTGGTACTTCCAGTAAAAGTTTCATGTCCTCGACCTCTATCAGCTTCAGGATGGATAAAGTTTCTGAGTTAAGGCACTCCTTACCAGGATCCTCCGGGCTGCCATAACGCACTGTGTAGCATGGAGCGCGTCCTGACATGCCACTTGGAAATGATCTGCAGATTGCAAAGAACGCAGTGGCTTTCTGCGGCTGTAGCTAGCAGCTAGCATCCATCGACTCTTGGGAACACTTCCTTCTCTGATTGGTTTCTTGATGCCCATGCATCTGCCTGGCAGTACAACAGCTGTTGGGAAACTTATTTTGTGAAACAGCACTACTCTCCTGCTTCACAGTGCAAGCTGCCCACATTCCAACCTACATCCCAGGTATCTACAACATCCCCATTTGCGGTGGCTTCTGTGCTCCTACCAAGAGTCCCGAGGAGTATCGGGGAGTCGAGTGAAACCTTGGAGGCCATGTACTCGCGCCACCATAGCTGTCGTCATAGGAAACACCGAATCAGCAGAAAATAACCTTGACTCAGGAACTCTGAAGCACACGCTGGCATGAGGCTTCAAACACATTCCGAACCTGTAGCTCTGACCTGTCAGCTGCGTTGCGTGAATGCATTGATGCAGCAATGCACCTATTGCATTTTTTTGCATATTCAGCATGCTCCCAACTGCGACGCGCTCAGAGTCCAAAGTATCTTCAAGAAGCATGAGGTTGTCTAAGTCTATGAGGAAGAAACTAGGACTACCACTACCACCAACACCACTACTAATAATAATACGAATACCACTACTACTACTACTACTA